ATGATATGATTTATTAAGTCATGTACATCTTTTAAACTAGAAAGACTTTTTTTGTTTATCCCAAAAGTTAAGTTTTATATTTTATTAAAGAGTATATAAGATTCATCAAACTTTGACTTTCTTATATAATTTCTCTAACTAGTTAGACTAGTTATGGTCTTTTGCTTACTATAATAAAAAGAATACATGTCATAAAAGGTACGGGAGACAGTTAGGTGTAGGGAAAATAATTTGCTTAAACTGTTAAGGACTTATGGTTAAAGATTATGCTTTATATAAAGGCTTTCATTCTTTCTTTCCTAACACTCCAAAAATGTAAGTTGTATGTGTGTGTGGATTCTCTCTTTTTTTTTTTATCTTTTCAAGAACACTTTCTTATTTTTTTTTCTCTCTTGAAGTTCATATTGGTTATGAACATTAAGCTTAAGAGTTAATAGTGAATGTACTAGCATCTATATCAAGTTGGTTTCATGTTGGTGTCTCAAAGTTTCCACATTCTTATACAACTTCCAAGCCTCCCCTTGAGGACTCAAATACAACAAATGTTGTTTTCTTCATCTTCTTCCTCTTTGATTGTTGTTTTTCTTTCCAAACTTTGCAAGGAGATCAATGGTGGGTATAAACTAGTTTTATGTTTATTCTAATTTTAAAGTCTTCCGTTGCTAAAATATTATGTTCTTGAAATTAATCTTTAAATAAAAACTCAACTATATATATATATATATATATATATATATATATATATATATATATATATATATATATATATATATATATATATATATTAGGATCGGGCGAGGAGTCGAAAAATAGTGAGGACTGCGAGGATAAATCTTGGCGTTTATTGGTTTAAATGGGTGGTTGAGATGAATCAAAATTAATAAATAAACAAAAATATCATCCAATGGCATTTTCTATAAATAAATAAAGCTAGGATCATTTTCCAATTAGAGTGCAAATGTTTGGGGGTCAAAATTGAATAAAGAAATGGCGGTTTGTTGCTGGAACGAAATGCATGCACAAAACACGCGTCGCCATCTCCCTGGAGCAGACTTGCGGTGTAACAACCGAGAAAGTTCTGTCACCGATAACCGTTAGGAAAGAGTAAGAAAATAAATGTATTTATTCCATAATATAATAAAATATGTTGTTACATTTAGACTTAAATCGACATATATGATAAAAAATAAGCATCCAAAAACGTGTACCGACTTTTAAAACGATTAATATAGTTAGAAAGTACTTGTTAATGTGATCTCAAAGATATAAAATTTATAAAAATCGGACTCCGATTGGAGGAGTTATAGATTTAGTTAAAAGTAAAAATGAACCGCATAATTAAAATTACTTACGTCAAAATGGTATTATATAAGAGATTGGTTGCGTGTTTGCTTGTGACGTCAAAAAGAGAATCGTAGTACTCCTTAATATTAGAACTTTGAGATAAATAATGCTTAAAACGGGATCTTTATGAGAGAGAAATGATTTTTTTTAAAATCATTTAACCTTACCCCCATTAAGCTTAAAAATAAAAGTCAAAACTAGCGAATGCAACCTATAGGGAAGTTGTAGTACTAGTTTACATCGTTACATAGATATAAAGAGGGCTTACATGGGAGCTTGCACGAAAGATATATGATTTTTCTAAAAATCATTAAGTGCACGTGAGGTGCGCGCTATGCCCGACACGCACCTGAAACCAAATTCGAGTAGATTGTGAGTGACATGGCCAAGTGGGGGAGTGAAACATGGACTATTCTTGATGAAGCCACAATGTTCATGCACAGCAAGCAAAGATATTTGCGCTACACGCGCCTCTAAAACTCAACTATAAATAGAGGATAGTGAAGCCTCAGTTTGCACACTCATCACAAGTCTCTCTCACTCTCTATCTCGAAGTGCTGTGATCATGAAGCAGTCGTCGAAATCCCAAGCCCGATTCTACCCAACATCGGCGGTTTCAATAACTCCTGGTGAGTTTCACGGCCCTATTTTACTATTTTAAATGGTTTAGGGAGGGGGGGGATACATGCTTATCAAATGGTTTATCAAATATTTCAAATATTGATAGTTTTATAAAGCATGATATATTAGGATAGTATACCCACATATACATTGCCTATTTCTAAGTTATGATACTATGCCTAAAACTTATGATACCCAATAGAAACATAAATGATTACACCTAGATGTTATGATGGACAAATTTCTAGGGTAACTTAGTACCTAGAAGTAATGTTAGTCAAATATATGGATATGCATTGTACTTAGTTGTTACTTTGCCTGAATATTCTGTTTTTTAAAATAATCATAATTAGGGTATATATGGTTAAAAGATATATATATATATATATATATATATATATATATATATATATATATATATATATATATATATATATATATATATATATATAAAGACAATTATTAGGGAAATAAGTAAATAATTATCATATATATAATAAAAGATATATAATATAATTATGGTAAACAATTTTATTAAAAGGTTAAAGTTTAAAATATTTAAAAACAACTCAGGTTAATGCGTTAGTGAGCTTTATTATTCATCATTTAGCCTTGATTAAATTCGGCTACCTCGACCTATAATCGTTTATCTTGCGAGATCCAGAAAGATATGTATAGATCTATACAGGGTTTAACATCTCCACCTGCGATTGGAAGCTATAATCCTGTTAGGATACAATTCCTTAATTTAAATTATTTTCGACGCATGATGAACCGTCGTGTGGGGAGATTATAGTCTGTAGTGTCCATTATAGGGGCTCATGGTAATACTACCCGAAAATCTTAAGGTAATCAACTACCCAGAGGGACGTCTTCGAGTAGTGAATATTATAATAGATTAGGATTGATAAAAATATCCTAAAACAAATTATAATGAAACAGTTAAAAATCCTAAAACACATGGTAAGTTAGGATCGATAAAATATCTTAAATGAAAGACTTTTAAGAGATAAAAAGATTTTAAATCAAAAACTTTATAAAACCTGTGAACTCACCAACATTATGTTGACATTTTCAAAATACATGTATTCTCAGGGATATAAGTGTGAAAGAAAGACTCGAATGAGTGGGAGTCGTCATGGAAGAATGCTGGAAGTTATTTCGGTTTGTTCTATGTTTAACTATGTTTAAAATATATGTTTGGTTTATCAAAACAATGTAACGTTTATATTATAATAAATAAAATTATAATTTATGTTACATTTTTGTGTATTGTTCAATATATCTCATTGCCGAGATCCAATTATCCCTACGTCACTCAGTCTGGTGTTTCCACTATGTTGGGTGTGACACGCGGACACGTGTCATCGTATGGATTAATGAGTTTTTTTGTTTTTTCAAATATCATTTTTTACAATAACTTTTTTTTCTTTGAAAAATATAATCTGAAAAAAAAAAAACCAAAGCCCTTAAACTTTAAATATCTACAACATAAGCTCAATTATGAAATTTTGAAAAAAAAATATTTATTTAACTTTGAATTTTATAAAACATCATAGAACAAATTTTCTGCAAATAAGGGTTACTTCTACTCAACATATTAGTGACTTTGAAAAAATAATTTTTTGAATTTTTCATATTTTAATGTTAAGAAATATTTGTTTTTATAAAATATAATGGATTTTTTTATCAAAATTCAAAAAAGCAATAATAGGGCTCTTCTTAATTCTATTTTAATAAGTTTGTAAAAAAATTTAAAAATATAGTGTTCAGGATACAAACATTTTGTTTAAATGATTTTAAATTTTTATAAAAATAAGACATGAAAAATTTCTTTCTCCTAATTAAAAATCATTTTAAAGGTTTGTTAGATATCATAAATTATGAAATTTTGAAAAGATTTTTTTTTTTTAAATAAGGTTGTTTAGATACCAAAAGTTATTGTAAAAGATTATAAATATTTTTAAAAAAATATTGAACATAATATGATCTAAAATGAGATAATTCAAAATATTTATGATTCATTAAAAGTTATGATTCAACATTTTTATGATCCTTAATTTGTTATTATGTAAACATATTTTGATTCAAATATTTTATGAAAATTAATTCTATATTTTATGATTTAAAATTAAATGATTCAAAATATATATTGATCCAAATTTTTTTTGAACAAATACTTTTTTTAATTGAATATATTATTGATCCAAAATCATATAATTCAAAAATGATATTATCCAAAATACTATGATTCAAAATAATTTAATTCAAAAATTTTATAATCAAGAAATAATAAGATTCAAAAATAGTATGAATGGATATTATGATCCTTAATATTTTTATTATTTAAGAGTTTTATAATTGTTAAACATTAAAAAATCAAACTCATATTTTGTTTAAAATATCAAAAAAAAATGTAAAAAAAGCAACAAATATAAAAAATAAAAATAAAAATAAAAATAAATAAAAACACGAGTATAAAGAAAACCAAAAAAACTCTGAAAACCGAGTATATATGTGTTTAAGAAAAAAACTTAATATAAAAATAATAATAATAATAATATTTAAAAATAACGAAAAAAACGGAAAAAAATTAATAAACCCTACTTATATGGTATTCCATGGATATTCGTCGCACGTATTTTAATTATCGATTCCGTATTAATTACCACTGACGTGCGTCACATTCGAAAGCGTTACACCTAAGTAGTCCTCACTATTTTTTGACTCCTTACCGGAACCGGATCCTATAGGGGTGAGCACGGTGTGGTTCGGTGTGTTTTTCAGACCAAACTGAACCGCAAACCACATTTGCGGTTATTTAAAGTGAAAAACCAAAATTTGCGATTTTAATACGGTTGGGTTTTGATGGGTTTTTTTTTTTTTTTTTTTTTTGGAGGGGGTGGGGTTTAGCTGCAAATATATATATATATATATATATATATATATATATATATATATATATATATATATATATATATATATATATAAAACAAAAAATATTAAGGTTTAAATAGTATGATGGAGATGTTACTTCATACATATACGTGGCGTTGATTGGGTGACACGGTAGTTTCGACGTATTTCCCTGTTGGAGGGATTTTGGAATCCATGCTTTGACATGTAAAGATCATTTCTTTGGTATGCTTCTTCATATCTAACAGGTAAACACTGTCTAGATGTCGTATGAGCAAATTTCCATTCCTCATCCAGTGCAGTATCGATCGACCCCAAAGAAAAAACGACATCGGGCCATAAGTTAACACCTTCGTCCAATATCCATCTCCATCCATCCTCCACAGCTCGATTATTTCATAATATCGTCGATTTGTCATATAATTTTCTTCCTCAATGAGAATGGCCACACAGAAGTGGATGCGCCCTCCTAGAACCATGAAACCCAAACAGTTTGTCATTTGGTTACCGAATGAGGGAATTGATATCTCTGTGAACTTTTCCGTCTTCGTGTCAAACCTCATAACTGAATATGAGAGAATAAAGGTTCCTCCTCTATCCACTTGTTTTAAGAAATTGAGTTTTTCATTCAATAGAATATGACTTGGCTGCTCCCAGTAACTTCCACGCGAAGTCCATTCGGAAGCCCTTTGTTGGAAGTCCGCTGTTGACTCAACCATTCTCCATGAGTTGGATTTCAAGGAGTATATATAAATATTGAGATGATGGGTTACACGTAAAAGCCTGTAGTCGTCATCAGAAGAGATATAATACAACCCGAATATACCTTCAGAGATCTTGTAACATTCTTTGTGATAACAACCCTTTTTAGGTTCAGACAACATCTTATAGTCACCTGTCAAAGGATTCCATAAAATAAGATCATAATATTCGCCAGGATTTTGGGGCTGGATTGTGCCTATGCATAATAGTCCATGCAAAGATGTTAAGATCGACATGTTTCCCATAAATGGTAAAAAAAATGGTAAATTACGGGCCACCACCAAACCATCTTTAGGTGTTTCACAGTCGATGCTATACATATGTCGTTGGGTGGTAGATACAACCAGATATTTGTGGTGGTTTTGATGATCATCGTTGCTAACCACGTGGTGATGGTACGTGCTGGCAAAAGCTCCCGATTTGAGGTACAAGTACCATTTCTTGCAAACACACATTGCATTGGGTAGAGCTTTGACCGGCAGCCTTGGAAGTATCTGTAAAAATAGTATCTCCCATGGAAGCTTCGTGGTGATGGTATTACGGGGAGTGTGGGGCTCCGCCATGATCTATAATATTGCTTAGTTTTCTCTGTGGGGTGGGGATATAATATATATAGCCATATAGGTATATATAGGGAGAAGGAGAAGAAGTTTTTGTTTACTTGATAATTAATTATGATTTCTACTTTTATAAGCTGAAGCGAGAAGCGAGATTTAGGAACATCTATACAAAAAATGTGGTAAAAAGTGACCAAATCAACGATTTCCGTAAAAACCCCACCGGAAAATAAGGCTGAACCGATCAATTTCAAGAGGTCTTCGGTCAAGGAGAAGAGGCTCTTGTTGCTTAGGATTCAAAGGATTTCCTCAAAATGTGGATGAAAAACACTACAAACCATCGGTGGTATTCTGTCATAAATGGGTAATTATTGTGACAGATTTACAACGGATTGTGACGTATTACCGATGGAACGTTCTTTGACCAGGTTTGACCGTATTTTCCGACCGACACTGACCGTCACTAAATGATTTAATTTATAAGAAAGATTCTAGTTTTTTTGTATACAAAATGCAGAAAAAACTCATTAAATTAATCGGGTAATAATACTAATACTCAACTGCAAAAGTAATACATATTAACATACCAATTGTCTAATATATACATAAAAAATGTCCAATACAATTACAAATGTGTACCTAAGTATTTAAAAAACATAGAACTAAGAAAATACATTTAAAAGATACAATTTAATCAATGATTAAATTCAAAGCAAGGCAGAGGATACGACCAAGAATCTCACAAATCACACACTACCATGCATTAATGTAACATCACTGGCTTCACCATCTTTAAAGTAAGTTTGTGATAAAGTTTGTTATCTGCAAAGGTAGGAAGAAAAGAGATAGTATCCTTATCTCATATCTACAACCAAATGCACCAAACATAACTAAGGATCAAGATAATAATCAAAAGAGAATGTTCCAGCCTTCCAGGTCCTAACTGAATTCAAAACTAGGCTTAATCCAATTTTGAAAACATTACTCTTCGGTGTTTAGCCTTTATGTTTATAAAAGCTAAAAAGCATGAGATAAAGAAAAAGGGGAAATAACACAAATACCTTAGGAGGATTGGTCTTTTGAATCCCTAAACTTATTTCATTATTTATGAAGGAACGAAGTAGCAAAGAGCCTGTCTTTTAGTCCACTTCACATGTTTTTCCCGGTTTTATTGACATATTGTCAAAATTTGGGGCCATCTCTACTATTCATTATTTTCCTCTGTGTTAACTGGAGTGTACCTATAATTTTATTATTATTATTATTATTATTATTATTATTATTATTATTATTATTATATATACTATTAATCTTTAAAAGGGTCGTGAACAGGAATTTTTTTGCTTTCTCATTTCTACTAGGGATGAGCAAAAGGACCGAACCGGCCGGAACCGGACCGGAACCGGGAACCGGCTTCGGCCAAAATCAAGAACCGAACCGGCCCGGCGGTTCTATCGGTCCGGTTCTACTGGTTCCCGGTTCCTACCGGTTCTTGTCGTGTCTTCAAATATTGGAACCGGTCCTTGAAAAATAGCATCATACGGTTCCGGTTTTTGCCGGTTCTACTGGTTCCGGTTATATCGGTTCCGGTTCCTACCGGTTCCCGGTTCCAAAAATCTACAAAAATAACGTCCCGGTCCCGGCCCGACCGGTTCCATCGAGTTCCGGTTCCGGTGCCGGTTCCGGTTCCGGTACCGGTACCGGTTGGTTCCCCGGTCCATTTGTTCATCCCTAATTTCTACCACTTAAGTTTTCTTCAATTACTCCTTTTGCCACGGGCTGCTTGCTTTAGAGTTACTTTTATTTCTCATTTATGCCCCTTTTTTCCTTGGTTTATGCATTTGCCACCGGATATTTTTTTTATCCTTGGCCGCCTTAATGCCTAAAAGAACCGACATAAAGTTATTCTAGATGGTCTTAAAGTGATTGTAGATAGACATCGGCTTCTTGGTACATCTTGCGTTCTAATTTTGCTTTCTAATTCGTGCTTTTGGATTTCTGTTTGTCGGTATATCACTTTAAGTAGACGTCGGCTTCTTGCTACATCTTGCGTTCTAATTTTGCTTTCTAATTGCCGCTTTTGAATTTCTGTTTGCCGGTATCTTGCGATTATATGTTCTTTTGTTGTTGGGTGTTTTTTTTTTGTTTTTTTTTTTTTAGTTTAGGTATCTATAATTGCTGCTATGTGCTTATTTGATGTCTGGAGTTTTGTCTTGCAAGCGTCCCTTATCTAGACGTTTAGCTGGTATTTTACCTCCTGAGATACCGTCTTTGCCTATTTTGCCTGCTTATGATGATATTGGTGATTGCAATTTTGTTTGTGTTTCGTGTTCTGCTCTGTTCTGGTTTGATGAAAGGGTTAAGTATTTATCACGTCCACAGTGTCCTGCTTATAGCCGTTGTTGTAGGTCTGGCTCTGTAGTCTTGCCGTATTCGCTTGCAACTCCTCAGTTGTTAGCGACTCTTTATGATTTCCCCCCTTTTATAAAAAATATTAGGGGTTATAATAATATCTTCAGTATGACCTCTTTTGGAGGTAAAGTTGATGAGGATGTTAATAAAACGGCTGGTCCTTATGTGTTCAAGGTTTCTGGTCAGGTTTGTCATTGGATAGGTGCCTTTGATATACCTGATGAAAAAGGACCTAGATTTTTATAGCTTTATATTGTAGATACAGAACATGAATTACAGAATAGGTTGTCTGCAGTTGAAAGGAAAGACGCTCAGTCTTTAGATCCAATGATTGTTGAAACTCTTATGGGTGTTTTCAATATTCATAATGAGTATGTAAGGACTTTTAAGACTGCGGAAAGACCTTGCTGTTGAAAACAGTTTGGTTGACTATGCGGTTTGTTTGTTTAATAATAATGTCCCTGACCGTTTATATGGACCTCCAGCTCATGGTACTTTGGGTTGTACTGTTGTTGGTGAAGACGCAATAGGCAGTACATACGACATAGTTATACATTCCAGGAATGGTGTTCCACGCAGGATTAGCAAACTTCATCCTAGCTATATGGCTTTGCAGTATCCTGTCCTTTTTCCGTATGGTGAAACAGGTTGGTCTCCGCGTTTAAAACTTCATGATGAGAGAAGCAGTAAGGTTAGAAATCTTACTATCAATATGTATTATAGTTATCAGATACATGCAAGGAATGGTGTATGGTATCTTTTGTTAAATTCTTGTAGACTGTTTCAACAGTATCTGGTGGATGCATATGCATGCATTGAATTGTCAAGGCTTGATTTCTGTGAACACAATCAGAGCCAACTCAGATCAGCGTATGTTAGTGGCATTTATGATGCACTTTCACGTGGTGATACTGAAAGTCGTTCTGTTGGTAAGCGTGTTTTTTTGCCTCCATCTTTTGTTGGTGGTCCAAGATACATGTACAGTCACTATCAGGATGCTCTTTCTATCTGCCGGGAATACAGGAATCCACAGTACTTTATAACTTTTACGTGCAATGTTGGATGGCCAGAAATCACACGTTATATGAATTCCCATCATCAAACTGATGTTGGTAGTAGAGCTGATATAATTTCACGGGTATTTCATATGAAAGTCACTGCATTCATTGCATATCTGAAATCTGATAAGACTTTTGGCCCTGTTTCAGCATGTAAGTTCCTTTCTAACTTATGTCTTGCTGATTTATATAACAATTGTGTATTTTTTTATTCTAACATTTATATATATATATATATATATATATGTATATATTTTTTTTGTAGATCTGTATACCATTGAATTTCAAAAGAGAGGGTTGCCTCATTGTCATATACTTATATGGGTTGAAGACTCACATAAGATAAAAGATCCTTCAAAAGTTGATGATTACATTACTGCCGAGTTGCCTGATCCTGTTTCAGAGCCACTGTTATATGAAATTGTTACCAGGTGTATGGTCCACGGACCATGTGGTTTGCTGAATTCTAAGGCGCCCTGTATGAAGGATGGAAACTGCAAGAAAAAATTTCCTAAGTCGTTTGTCTCTACTACGGTTTTTGATAGGGACGGCTACGCTCATTATAAAAGAAATTCAAGTTCACTTCATATGTTGCAGAGTGGTATACAGATAGATAACAGATACATAGTTCCGTATAATAAGAGGTTGTCCAGTCGTTTCAACGCACATATTAATGTTGAGCATTGCGGGTGGAATATGATGATTAAGTACCTGTTCAAGTATGTATCAAAGGGAATGGAACGGGTCAGATTTGTTGTTCAGAAAGATACTCAATGTGCTGATACGTCTGTCTATGGACAATGTATAGTTGTTGACGAGATAAAAAATTATATTGATGGGCGTTTTCTCTGTCCCCATGACGCTGCATGGCGGATACTTGATTTTCCTATTCATGAGCGTGATCCCCCTATTATTATTCTTCCTGTCCATTTGCCGAATATGCAGTCGGTATTCTTTAAAGAAAATACTCAAATCAAAGAGGTAGTCGAAAATCCCACCTTTGGTAGTAGTTTGTTGTTAGGTTGGTTTGAAAAGAATAGATGGGATTCAATCGGTCGCGAACTTACATACGCCTCTTACCCCACGAAATATTGGTGGGATGACAGGGAAAAATGTTGGAAAAGAAGAAGGCGTTCAAACTCCCGTGCACTTGGTAGACTTATATTTGTCCACCCAACTGGTGGAGAGTTGTTTTTCTTGAGGATGTTGCTGTCCCACCAAAAAGGTTGTAAGTCATATGAAGAGCTTCGCACTGTGTCAGATGTAATGTACGATGATTTCCGTAGTGCATGCAATGCATTAGGGTTGATTGGAGATGACAAAGAATGGATGGATGCTTTTGTGCAAGCTTCTGAGTGGGCGACTTCATCTCAGTTGCGGTCTCTTTTCTGTTATCTTCTGCTTTTATGTGATGTTAATGATCCCATGTGTTTGTGGGACATTGGATGGAGAAAAATGAGTGATGACTTAGTTTATAGGATGCGGTCATCAAATCCTACTATTGAGTTGAATATAGATGATAGTCATATACAGCAATTGGTCTTATTTGAATTAGATCACATACTAAGGTCGTCTACTCCACCACGATCTATTTTGGACTTTCATCTACCAAAACTAACAGATAGCAACATCACACTGTTAAAAAATCGTCTCTTCCTAGAAGAAACTTCTTATAATAAGGTAGCTCTTATTTCTACTCATGACCATATGTTGCCACTACTGAATAATGCACAGCTGCAGGTGTACAATGACATTCGCTCTGCAGAGGAAACACAACAGCAAGTGCTTATATTTGTTTATGGTCATGGAGGAACCAGCAAAACTTTCTTGTGGAATACATTGCTTGCTTATTTCCGTTCAAGAGGAAAAATAGCACTAGCTGTTGCTGCCTCAGGAATTGCTTCTTTGCTTCTTCCATCAGGAAGGACAGCTCATTCCAGGTTTAATATTCCAATAGACTTTTCAGAAAAAACCGTATGCAATATAAGAAAACACACAATGCTTGCTGAGTTGCTAAAGCAAACTTCTATTATCATATGGGATGAGGCGCCAATGAGTGACAGACGTTGTTTTGAATGTCTAGATCGTTCTTTAAAAGATATACTTGACTGTGAAGCAAAAACTTTTGGTGGTATGTCTATGTTGTTAGGAGGAGACTTCCGACAGACATTGCCAGTGTCCCCCAAATCTACACCGTCTGAGATAGTTTCTCTGACTCTACCCAATTCCTATCTATGGCCCTATTTCAAATTATGTAAACTAAGTGCCAACATGAGACTTAAGGATTCATCTATGTCATCGAAAATAGAGTTAAATGCATCAGATTTTGCGACATGGCTGGTTCAGGTTGGAGATGGTAGGATTGGTAATATGGATACTGTTGATAGGATAAATACTAAATGGATTGAAATCCCTAGGTCACTCCTTATACCTCCATCGGAAAACGGGTTAGATTCCCTTATAAATTTTGTTTATGGAGATATCTTTCAAACCAATGTCTCAACAAGCATGTTATCTGGCAGGGCAATAGTTTGTCCCAAAAACGAAACAATACAACACATAAATGATATTGTTATGCGTAAAATTCCTGGGGTTTCAAAGATTTACAAGAGTGCTGACAGCATTGAATTTAACGGGAAGCAGACTACAGAGTTTAATACATTTTATCCGTTGGAATATCTTAATGGACTTACATTTCCAAGCATACCTGCACATTCACTTTTATTAAAAATTAACACACCTATAATGCTAATTCGAAATATAAATCAGAAAGAAGGTTTGTGTAATGGTACACGATTAATGGTCTCACAGTTGTTATCAAATGTGATTGAGGCATCAATTATTACTGGAACCAGCATTGGGAAGAAGGTTTTTCTGCCTCGTATTAGATTTATTCATAAAGCTCCTGATATACCTTTTACATTCATAAGAAAGCAATTTCCTGTTAATGTTTGTTATGGTATGACTATTAACAAAAGTCAAGGTCAGTCTTTAACCAGAATTGGAATATATTTGCCGGAACCTGTTTTCACACACGGCCAGCTTTATATTGCATTGTCACGTGCCACATCTCCAGAAGCAGTTAAAATACTTATGCATTCTGATGATAAAACGACAAACAACATTACAAAAAATGTTGTTTTCAAAGACTTCTTACAAAAAATAAATAACTCAGAGGTTAAACATATATACAATGTTTCTGTTTTTTTCTTGTATCTGATTCATTTTATTGTACCATATTACGTTAACTTTTTAGATGTAATAAAAAATAATGTTGTATTAACTTTTTTCTTATCCAGTTTTAACCATGTCCCAAACAGTAACAACAGTTTCCAATCTACATTATGGATGTCCAGGAACAGCAATACATGTCTACAACTATACTTTAGTTTATGCAACATATACATTTTTAGTATGGGGTCTGTATATAGATGCAAGATATGAGTTTCATTCATGTTTGCAGCTTCGAATATTGCGAATGAGGACTCCACAAGTAAGGACTCAGGAAACATGGTTCTTAGCTGTTGATACAAATGTAAGTTATACCATTATTTTATTTTTCCTTATTCTGTCACAAGTTTATACTAATTTATTCATAATATTTTATAAGGGTGATGCTGTTCAAATTTTGGGTCAGCGAAAAGACCAAGGATATTTACAATCTGTCCTAATTCCCAGTAAATGCTATACGATTGAAAAATATGCATGCGGAATTCCAGACCGATATCAGAAATGGCTGGATAATGAGGTCTACATAGCTGCTGGAATGGCATCATCAATTACATCTATCCAAGACACACATACAATTCCTGCATGCTGGTTTACTTTCATAACTAAAAAACAAATCGCAAATTACGTGGATCGACATGCAGGTTATCATTTACTTATACAGCATTCACGTTTTTAAAGTAAACACTTACATAAATCGTTAATAACTTTTGTAAACCACTAAATTCCATTTGCAGATTTTATTGGTGTCTTCAGCAAACTTATTAGGTGTACGAAGAAAAACAAAGAACCATATCTATTACTAATATTAAAGAATGAATTGTAAGTAAGGTATTTTTATAATTATTTTCATAAGGTTTTAACACGCTTTATAAATACCAACATTAGAGGCGAGGATATTGCAATAAGCTTATGGAAAGAATGCACGAACATACCTTCAAAGTTTGATGTTGTTGGTTTGGAAAATACTGTTGCTCCCGTTGTTGTTGCGATAACTAGTATAAAGATTTCAACCTATGATGGTATACTTTTTTTTTACTATTCTGATATCATCTATTAACTTGTAACAAATATATTTTTTACATTCATGTTATGTATAATTGGTAATTTAAAGGTTCCCTAAGACATGGAATAAGCAGTGCAAGTCACCTATACATCAATCCACCAATTCCAGAAACACCGCTTCTAACGGACAGGTATTTTAACGCATATAAAAACATTTTAAATATTTCGTTACTGATTAATATAATTTCCCGATTGTACAGTTTTCGTACGTTTAGTGACTCCTCTATATTTTTCGACATCCCAACACCATTAGGAGACATATTACAAAGAGGTCATCCTAAACTCCTGGTATATTTTTTTATTAATGCAATTTAAATTATGTAGATTATGACAACATATCTATTATGCAGAACAAAAGTTTCACTACAAAAGCTGTCATAACTGCGTATGTATTTTCTGATTGTTGGTACCAAGTTCAATGTCCAAATTGCAAGATCCCAGCTTTTAAACAGGGGAAAAGTTGGTTCTGTCCTTCAGATGGTATAATCAATGCACCAACTATAACGTAAGTCTAAATATATAACTTTTATGTTAACAAATATTTAACCAAATCATAGATTTTATACCTACATTTACTATGCAAAACCCCAGGTTCAAGCTTAGTGCAACACTTACAGACGAAAATAATTCTATAGTTGCTCTGCTCTCCGATAACGCAACACAAGACTTATTCGGTTCTACAGCTGATAAACTTATACCAGACGATGACATAAACTGTAGAGGACAACTACCTGCAATTGCCACTACTGTACAAGGAATAGCCAAAAAAATGAAACTTCGTATCACAAACACATCGACAGATACGAACATTCGCTTTATGATTACAGATATCGAAAAAAGTAACCCACAGGAAACAGCATACCCAACAACACCAGCACCACATCATCGATCTCCATCAAAAGACAGCGAGAAAGACTGTTCTTCAGTTCCTCAACACAGTAGAGCAAACGTCAAAAGGTCATTACCATTTGAAAGCCAAGGTAAATATTTCTCTATTATCTGTATACACTACAAAGTAACCTCTTACATTTTTGTTAACAAATACGTATATAATTATATGTGGAAATTTACTATTGCAGACACATCAAATACAAAGCGTAAAAGTGCACGCAAGATAGAATGATCCATCTCCCCTCCGACGTTGATAATGATGACATTATCAGTTTTGCATAATATGTATAAACTAAAGTCCAGAAAACATGTTTTTTAGTCTCAGACTTTGTGGTATTTGGCTTTTTATGATAGTAAATATAAGTAACATATGTTCATTAATCTATCACCTATCGTCGTATATTAACTTTAATTTAAATAAGAAAGATGACAAATTTTCAAATAAAATTTACGATTTCGTTTATTAAAATATTAAAAATGGAATATCTTTACAGAGGATGATTATTTGCTTTACTTTTAGATCGGCCTTCTTTCCCTATGTTTTAATTTAATACAACCTTTAAGCGTAACAAATATATTGACCTTCAACATAGTATAACTTCTGACTTAAAAAGTTCAACGATCCTAACCTTTTTGATATTAAAAACAAATATAATTTTTATCACAACCCCTCTGCTATCAAAACATCACAGTCTTTCATAATTTCTATTTAACCTTCCATATGTCATGATTACCTGCAAAGTCTATGACTACCACATAGACATCAACACACCATTAAACACATATGCACATAGCTAAGAATTAAACTCCTCCCTATCTATAATTCACTGTTATCTTGGAAATATATCATACTTTTAAAACATTATATAAATCGTTATTTTTATTAAAAACAAAAATAGTCATTATCTGTCCACTATTGACCCTTATCCACGATTTAAATAAATCATATATATAATTTTTACACACGAAAATCATACCTGGCCACGTTGTTTAACAAACAACTTGACAACGCATGCTGCATACTAAGCCATGCTATAGCTACGAAAAATTATCATACATCCAACTCTAATACTATCACTCAATCCACCACACACATACATTGTCTCTTCTATAAATAAATGCCATAACCACGACATTAAAAACAATATACTCAGAATGAATAACAGCGATTACAACAAAGGTTTGACCATCATGATCGGATTTCCTTAGGGAAATCGGTGATATACTTGAAGCAATCCAATCTCGACTAGAAGAGAGTTTCCGCATCGACGAAAATATCGTATTATACATAGCGAATCACCCCGACGATGTAGATGTTCAAACACTGCATAACATCTTTGAGAAAGCAAAAACAGAAGATCAGTCCATACAGGACAACGTCTCCTTCATGTTGGGAACAATCCACAAAAGAATTGGCAAGTACAAACGTGGCATGAAAGACACACCCTCCGACTGAAGACCCGATTTCCTAGTATTAAAATATTAGACGTGTTATGTATATACAACAATGTAAACAGGAAGTGTAACCTTTACAATGTTCATAAATAAAATAACTTTATCTATTAACGATTTCGTAGACTTCAAATATTACATGTGTTATGTATATACGACAATGTAAACAAGAAGTGTAACCGTTACAACATATTATTTATAAATAAAATAACTTCATCTATTAAAATACGTCTAAATATTAAAACAACCAAAGTCAATTAAATTTCGAAGGCCTAACCTCCAAGTACACTTGCACATATGAAAAACACGTAATTAATTAGGAGATTACTCATCACACATTTTCTGCAACACGTGTCAGCTAATATTACAAATTTTCTTAAAAGCACTCTATAAATTACATAATGTACCTCAAACACAAACACACTTTATAGAAAACTACCCAAAGATCAACACCATAGTCCGTCACAAAACTCAAATGATGAAGACCATTCGTACACTGAAGCGCAACATCAAAACAACAAGGAAACCTAGCAAAAACACTAACACAAACCCCACACTTTCTAAACTACGCAGTCTCTGCACAAATTTTGGACAATGAAGATGTTTTTAACACAAAAGCAAACACCGTAGTTGTCGCATTAGAGGAAGAAATCAACGAAGGCATCGCAACATTAAACAAATTTTCAGATAATCTTCCAGTGAAGTAGGCATTTACTTCGACTTTTTTTTTCGTATAACACGTGTAATGTTTTAATAATGTAACTTTACATTATTGTGCTTCAATAAAAAAAAATCTTTTTACACCTTTAATGAACGTTTTCATACATTGTTATATATTATACTAACAAAATGAAATATACAAAAAAAGTAAATCCTCTAGAATCTCAAACGCCACCAATACGTTCCATCATATATCATTACTCCTCCAGAAATAACACCTGCATTAAACACACAACAACCAACTTAAATGCAGACTTGTATATTTAAGAAGCATCATCACTCTTCAACACTCTATATTCCAGAAATAAAATCTCATAAAATATGAAACCACAACAAATGGAGCACATACTGAGGAACGTCATTGATCACTATGAGGCTGAGAAAGTATCAATAAAAAAACTCACAAGAGGAATGTTGGGAGCATCAAAAATACAAAAACGAGCTTATAACGGGGATGGACTGCAAACCATGCTACGATAACTACCTGGCAATGAGGGCCATGCAAGATATGGAGAAGAAATACGAGGAGCTAATCAACAAAATCAAAGAAGATATAAAAAAACTTACAAACATCCATATATCTAATAATTATCAATATAATCTATCTTTTTCGGTACTATATTTATAAGTTGTAAGTCAAAAAAAAGTCCTGAATTAGCGCCAATAGGAGCAGTTGATTCCATCTAGTTATTATTAAGATTGTAAAAAATTATAACAGTTCTTTTATTTGATTGGTCATTCTCACCGCTCACCGCCTCTCCCAGGAGCTTCTACATCCACTTTCTTCCTTTCCCAGACTGATTCTCAATGCTTTTATCGGGTCTCTCTCTCTCTCACACACTCTCTCTCTCTAGCTTTGTTACCGGTGCAGAAGAACCCGACAGAGCATCATATGTGATTCAATCGGCGTTGAGGTTGCTTCTGGCTCCTTTTTTTAGATGACGACCGGTTATATTCTAAAGCTAATCGATTGTTTTTCTTGCAACGTGTTTCTTTTTCGCTCTCTAAACTTCACTTTCTATCTCGATTTCTATGATTTCTAGCCCTAATTTCAATCCCTAAATTTTGCAGATGCTTTCCTTCGTTGTCGGCACCCATAAGGAATTTTGAACATTCAAAACCTTCACGACGAAGAACAATCGAAATCATCTCCAGTTCACTCGCTTAGATACGTGTCTACCTTCTGTATTCCAAAGCGATACGTGTCCGATGCTTCGTTTTTCCACCGACACTCTATCCATTTTTTCTTATCTGCTCTGTATTCCAAGGTTGGAGAGTCCTTCGACTTCTCTGGAAGAGAGTCCTTCGTTTTTCAATTTACTGGCTCCGCCCGATTCCTCCTGTTGGTGAAGAACGCCTCCGAAATAAGTAAGATCTTTCGATTCCCCTTTACTGATTTGAGGATGAGTACTCTAATTCTATGTTTCGATTAAATCTCTGCCTTCAGTTAAAGCATCGCTCTATCTTCCTCACCGCCATCTGTGGTCAAAGGCTTGAAATTTTGGTATGCCGAGAGAATGATTTAGTTTATTTTTTCAGCGAATTAATTTGTGATGGGAGTTTTTGTGTTTTAGCCTTGATTGTTCACCCAATTTGATTGTGAGTTTGTTGAAATATTACCGTAGAACATGATGGATGGAGTTTGTTTATATATAGGAGGTACTTCACAGTGGAAAAAAGCTCAGACTTGCTTTTTGGAGGTCTCAAACATATATTTCTTCCACCACTCCCATTGATTTTGCTCCAGGTATGTAACACTTTCCCTGCTAAAGAGTTCCTCCATTTGTTCCTCCACCGCTTCTATTGTTTTCTATCTTCCTTCCTAATTTCACCATCTTCTTTCTACTGTATGTTGCAGGTGTGACCCTTCTTCTCTTATTCTGTGTGTTGTCAATAGGTAATGTTTACAACTGCATATCAATATTTCCTTTGTACGATAATCATGTATTTCTCTTCACTATTGGCGCAGGTCAATATTCCCTTCCAGTTGTTAATGCCAATTGATTAGTCGAAGACCAAAGCCAAGTGTTAACTTCGCCATCTACAACTTATTCAAGTTAACTGAGTAATGGAAATTCAACCTGCACTTTCCAGTAGAAAGCTTCTCAGGTAAAACCCAACCACTCTTTTTCTTTTTAAGTTGTATAATTTAGGCTTTAAATTGGTGGTTTGCTTCCTTTTAGAAGTAGTTTCGTTTTGGTTATTCATGTTTCTTGGTTATTTGATTTTAATTTTTTAGTATGCTGCTGGTAATTTCTATCAATTTAGATTAGGTTTGGGTTTAATTCAATAGTCCACTTCTTTATCTGATTAATAAAAATTGCATTTTCGGTTGGTTTTAGATACATATAAAACATGATTCTTTAGATATAACTTTTTGTGGGCTAACATAAATATTAAGACTTCAACAAAGGTAATTATAAATTTCTTCAATTAAAGTAGCGAATTCATTATAGAATAAACGAAAATACATCTGTTTAACTTGCATTTTTTTTTTATCTGATCATTTATGTGTATCTTCTGCTCAATATAAAGCTAAAGTATCTGCAACTTGATTGGCATATTTTGGTGGAGACTATTGGCGTGGTGTTGTTGGGTTATAATCTATCACTAGGAATACTTTTGAAGATCTGCTACTCATAAATAGGGTAAGTCTCTTCTTTTTCAATCATAAAATTAAACATCACAAGTATTTACAATTATAATCATATTCCAATATTTAACAAAACGAATGTCCAAAACCTAAACAAAGTATAAGAGGTCTGCATCATTAAGAGGTTTGTCCCAATAACTGGCTGAATGATGCAATCATGTTGGTAAGATTGTTGAACAGATCTGCTAATTAGAAAACTTACCATTTTACCCTTCTAATAAAAACAACTTTGAAATGAAAACTAAGTACTCAAAATCTACAATTGTCAAACTAACATTTATATATTATTTTTGTGTTCTTTTAAAGGTAGGTTATAGTATTTTTACCATTACTAACATCTACATTTTGATTAACTGAACTAATAAATCTTTGGCAGTAGGGAAGGTGAAAGCAATGGCAGATCTGCATCAAAGGAGAGCATCTGCATCAAAGGAGAGCAGAAATGGCAAATTATTCTTATCCTTTTATTGCTTTATCAGGTTAGTATAAGACCTGCAATATGTTTCTTTCATATTCTTCACTAAAATCTCAGAAGCACCATATACCTCATTAAATAAAAGAGATGGCAGGTGCATTTTACTTATTTGTCTTATTAACGTTTTCTTCTATTTTATCTCTCCAATGTTTCTTCTTTCAACCACTCAATCTCTATGGAGGCTCGACACAATCATTTAGGTCATCGGTACTTCTTCCCCACTTCGTCGCTTCGAAAGAAATGGGAGAGAGTGAGATCGGTACAACAGCCCCAAGGGGTAGGTGTGCTTGGGTCGTTTCTTTGAGTTGACAGAGGTGTTTGGATTGTTGTTCAAATCAATAGGGACAGTGGAGGAAAAAGAAAGAGGCTGGGCAGGTTCATGAATGGGGTCTTCTGGGTTATCCAGGTCAGATTTCTCATCGCTTTTCCCATTTTGCCCTTGTGGAAAGAACTTTTTTTTTGAAACTAAAGGGTATATATGTCATTGGGCAGCAAGTATACATGTATTTCCGAGGCAGTTGGCAGGCTGTTGAGTTATGTCACACCCCCGAACCAGACGGCGGAAACGTCCGAGGGCTGTTGTGACTCAATTGAATACCATTACATTGAATATACATGAAACATAACATCATTCATCACCATGCATTGAGATAGTATAACTGGTAGAGTTTACATTTAGTACATTGTTTTAAACATTACATCCCCAAAAATAAATTGTTCGATAATAGTTAAACAAACAGCAAGTATTCTCCCCCCACAAAACTGTTTTGACATATTTCAACCATCAGAATTTGTATCTTGTCATTTTGGGCCCTTTAACTTTATATTTTTAACATTTTGAGTCCAAAAATGAGTTTTTAGCCCAAAGAAGTTAATATTAAACAACTTGGTTATTTTTCTAGATATGATTTGTATGTAGTAATATAATTTATGCTAGTATCCTATAACCCAAAGTAAACCTCGGTTTTAAGGGCTTTTTGACTAGATCCAACATCATAATCACACAAAAACACAAATATAAACATAGAAATCACACAAGGCATACATATACTCATAGATCTACACATTTGCTTGTATTCTCCCCCCACAAAACTTATAAAACCGAAAAATAGGGGGTATGAAGCTCACCTTGAGTTGTAGTTTCGGTTTTGGAGAG